AGCACTCCTGTCCGGCCGTTTATCTACATGGCCCAGACGGGAAATGGTTAAAAAGGCCGCTTGTACTCTCCATCAGAAACTTATGCTACGATGTGACACATCTTGGAGACAGGAATAGAGTGTTGTAACTATATAAAAGAAAATGTCTGATCAACAGGTATTATTTTATGAAATTTGCAGATAAGAAATGTTGAAAATTAAAGAAAAGGCTTTTTACTGTGTTTTAAATGTTCCCCCCCTTCCTCCCCTTAACTAATGCTGGAAACCATTTCTAATAAGCAGTGTGAATACCTGTGCAAAACGCTCGGAGTATTGGCAACAGCGAGGTGGCTGCTCTGGGAATTCCTCACTGTTGTTGGCTCTTACCAAGCCGCTCAGAGCTGTGTGCTTGGGAAATAAAGGTATTTACACTGCCTATTAACAAATGTGCAGCATTAGTAAAGGCAAGGGGCAGGCAACATATAAAGCTTACTTAGTAGATAGCCTTTCCTTCTACCTTAATATTTTATATGACCTACTCCACTAGGCAGGGGCGGACTGACAACTCATGGGGCCCCCGGGCAATAGGGGATCATGGGGCCCCTGTGTCCTTGCCCAAACTTTAAAAAGCCTATGAAAAAGGTACCAGGGGCATCTCATGGGGCCCCCTACTGACCCTGGGCCCTTGGGCAGTGCCCGAGTTTCCAAATGGTCAGTCCACTCCTGCCAATAGGTACACAATATTCTGCTGCTAAAACTTTTTCTTTCTGATTCATCAAGGCTTAGCATTCTAGTGTTTTTTTTTGGGTAAAGTTTTCATGAAATAAATAGGTAAATTGTTGCCAATTTAATTTTGAAAACACTACTTGAGTGGCTGTTATGCTGATGCATTTTTTAGATCCATGTACACTAGGCTTAAAAAACACCAGTTCCCTTGGCCGGAAAAAAAAAACTCACTCATATAGAGCATTTTTTGTACAGGTATTAAGAAACGTTTATGGGGTTTTTTTTCGGGCAGAAAACTCCTCAAAAAAACACTGCTTTTAAAATATGCCTCTAATCGTTCTAATGTGCATGGACACATAGGATAACATTAGCTGCTTCTACAGGCAAAACACAACTCCTGCAGAAGCAGCATTTTTTAGGCCCAGTGTTCATGGACCCAAATATATTCTCTGGGTTAGTAAGCAAGGTCAGCAGGATTGCTAGGCAACTAAAAACTTCACAAGTAAGACCTAAGCAATGGCAATCTTCAAGTGAAACTTTAAGAAAACAGTAAAAAAGGGCAAACAGGCAGGAATTTTAATGCAGAAGACATGCTTTGTCTCTTCTGCATCAAATTTACTTACCTGCCTGTCCACCCTTGTAAAGTAAGCTGTGCATGCACAGTTCACTATACAAATTCAGAAATGCAGAATCTGATTGAACTCCTGCTCAGCAAATGACAATGGCTGGAAACAGAGACCTAGAAGCCGGCCACCCGAAGATGTGAATGGTCATTCAGGTGGACTGTTCCAGAACACCACATTGCTGGAGTTTAGGTGAGTATAGTTCTGCTTTCATGTTTCCCTTAACGTGTGTACTTTGAATGTTAGGTAACTTTAATAGTAAATCCGTAAATAACTTCAGGAATGGAGTATTGGAGTTCCTGTTACCTACATTCACTGATAACAGGATACTTCCAAACTTCAATCCTCCAGTACCTATATCAGGTTGTATTTCCAGGATTGGGTCTTAAGCTGGGTGCACATACTTTTTTTCATTCAACCCAGCAGAAGAGCTGATCAGATGTGGGTTGAATGCTGGTTTTCAGGCATGCCCATTTGTCACAAGCCGGTCATGAGACTGGATTATGTAGAACAGACAGCTATACACATGGTCTCAGCAAGTCCCTGCTGAACTGGTTGATTTTCAGCCCATGTGTACAAGGCTTTAGGGCCTCATTTACAAAAGTGTGAAGGGAAATAAAATGAATTGATGTTCCTGGGTCTGATTTACTGTAGTGTGACATTAACTGCTATTCACCCCACTGCAGTACATATACTGCAGTGGGGCGGCTCCTACAGGCACAGCAACGTATAGTTAAGTTGCTGCATGTTTCAGGGTTTCGGGCACATGCGCGTCCCCACCCGCCTACTTCCCTGTGATTTTACACAGCAGGAGTTTGTCAGCAGATCCTGGCCTATGTTTCATGGCAGGGACCTGCTGATGTGTCAAATTACAGCCCAGAGCCCTGTGTTGACAAACACAGGGCTCTAGGCAAGGGGAACTATCATGCAGCACACTTTACACATTGTTAGACACACATTTAACCCCTTCCCAGCCAGTGTCATTAGTACAGTGACAGTGTACAGTATTATACTGATCACTGGATTAGTGCCACTGGAGATGTCCATGTCAATTTGTGTGAAAAAAAAATTATATAAATTTAATTTGTGTACAGTGTTGCATCAATTGCCAGTTAAAGTAGCGCACTGCCAAATAGCAAAAAAAAAAAAAAAAAGGCCTGGTCATGAAGGGGGTAAAAAGGTTTTTTTTTTTGGTAAAATTTTCCTTCATGACCCTGAATGTCTGTAGTTCATACAGGTTCATCTCACCTTTCTCTCCACCATAATATATTAGGCCCTGAGTGTTTCAAATATGTTAAACATTCTTTATAAAGAAACAAAAACACAGCAAAACAGGATTCCTGATTTTATTTTTTAGATTCTTAATTACAAAGGATCACATGTCACCATTGCTAAACTATAAAGTAAAACACATTTTAAAGCTCAACTGTAATCAAAACATGTATTTTCTTTTTTTTTGTAAAATTGTCTTTATTTGCTAGTCCTGAAGTCCCACAGCGTAGATTTCTGCCCACTTCCTACCCAAGGACTGGGAGTTATGACAATCTCCTCAATAGACAGACAGCAACAAAGGAACTTTTTTGTAGCAGTTTCTGTTGCTGTCCGTGCCTACCTGCTCCCATTTCTAGTCCTGGTGTCAAAGGGACAGAACATGTAGGGAAAACTTCCAAAGGGGTTCACAGCAACCATAACAAAAATGATAGATGTTCTAAGTCTTCACCAGTCGATACAAAATAAAGAAAATGTTTTAACTGGAGTTGGGCTTTAAATTATAGTTTCTAACACCATTGACAAAAAAAAAAAAAATCCCCTTAAACCCTTACTTAAAAAAACTCATGTACTTAAATAAAATGACAGCGACCTACTAGTCCAAAACATTTTCTTACATTATACAGTAAACACCTCTATTAAGTTATGTGTTGTGTACTTTTCTAGATGTTAAAAAGTGCTAGTCTTTAAACATAGTTACATTGTACTTATTCTTTATTATATTACTGTGTTGTTAGTAGGTATCCTTTCATACCCAATCTGTGCTGCCTCCTCTGCAAAGATCACAGGAAAAAATTAATCTGTAACTCAAAGTCCGATTTTATACACTTTTAGGCACATCCCCAACCCCTCCCCTCCCAGATGACAGTGGCTGTGCCTGGTAATTGCCCTGCTTAGGCACCTAGCAAAGCATTATGGGAGGGCAGTGTGCTATATTCACACAAACAATTTTCAATGGGGCTGCAGTGGGAATCAAGGCAGTGAAGACATTTCGTTTATGTACCAGTGGGTGCTTACTACACAGCAGGGGTTTGGTTTTTTTACTGACAGACTTGCTCAAATAAATATATGGATATCAACAGATATAAGCATTTAAAAGTCACCCTTTCTGTGCTACTCCTATGAATCAAACTGCATCTTCCTATCATGCTTGTAAAGGATATTAGCAAATTAAATAAAGAAGCCAAAGGGGGAATACAGGACATTGCAGATAGTTCCTTAGGATAGTTTAATGTATGATGCCCACTCTTTTCTAGAAATAAAAGGGGACAGAAGCAACCAATATATAATTGTAAAAATAGTTTGTGGACCATACCAACACTAGCAGTGTTACAGCGTATGCTGGGACTAGAACCTGTCAAATATACTATTATGTCAATGATGTGGGAGATCTGGCAAGCCTAGACTAAATCCATATAACTATTAGGTTATATAATGTAGATAAAACTAAAATAGCAACAGCTTCATAAAATGCAATAGTGAAGTAAAATTAAAGCGGATAATAGGAATATTTCAAGGGTCACAAACAGAACACTTCAGATATAAACTGCCTAAAGAAGGGACCCCTTAACTGTTACTGTACTTTTCAGGATGAGCTGGGGCCCACAGCTTTTTTTGTTTGTTTGTTTGTTTGTTTACAGAACGGCCATCAATAAATGTAGTGCTAGGCCTAACTAAATTTACTGAAATAAAAACCATATTCCATTAGTGATTTCCTATTAAAGCAAAACAGCCTAACACCAATGGCTATTATTCCAGTATTTTTACTAGTGCAGCAGTAATCATTCCCCGCAGATACATGTGTGGGTCTATATAAAACATAAAAAAATAAGAGCATGAATAATAATAGTGCACACATAGGGAAAAAAAAAAAAAAGTGTCTGAGACAAGTTCTATCTCAACTAGTGCTGTTGCCCATAGCAACCAATCAGCTTTTATCTTTTCCATGCAGCATTGGGAATGACAATGTAAAAGCTGATTGGCAGTGCTACAGTTGGAGACAAATTTGTCTCGCTTTTCAGTAATTCCTCCCAATGTTTTCATCTTTCATATGTTGAACACTTCCAAACCTGTTTACCATCAACTTTTATGTTCAAACTATTTAGCAAATCATTAATGCAACTGTTACACCTTAGCTAGAAGTGTCTTCGTTGTCCATTTTATATAAGCTACAGGCTAGATACTACAAAATGAGTGTAGACAAATACTATTAATCTACTTTTAAAATCCCCTGCACAAATAATAAAACAAAAACAAAAAAAACTATGTACATAAATAAACATATTGTCCTCAGGAATTACAAGGATCATAATTAGAAAGTTGTACTAGAGGAGAAAAAGTTAAAGGTTAGAAAACTATGTACACAAGAGGTTTGGAGCTGTCCACAAACTGCACCAGCTTTGCTCACTTCTTCCTCCCAGATTTCTTTGGACTGGCCTTTGCCTTGGGCTTGGATGGCTTTGCCTTCTTCACCTTGGATACTTTGACGGGTTTGGCTTTGACAGTCTTTGTCTTTTTGACTTTTTTAGGTGAGGGTGCCGGTTTTTTCTTTGTCACCTTCTTTGCTTTCTTCTCCACCACTTTGGGCTTCTTGGCTTTGGCTGGAGACTTGGCCGCCTTTTTCGGCTTTGCTGCTTTTTTGGGAGTTACCGATTTCTTGACCTCCTTCTTGGGCTTCTTAGTTGGTTTCTTAGGTTCCTCAGACTTGGCCAACCTGAAGGATCCAGAAGCCCCCACACCCTTGGTCTGCTTGAGGGTGCCAGAGGTCACCAGCCTCTTGATGGATAACTTGATCTGGGAGTCAGCATTGTCCCCCACCTTGTAGTGATTCTTAATGTACTTTTGGATAGACTGGCGTGACGAACCAGACCGACTCTTCTCCGCCTGGACCGCAGCCACGATCATGTCCGAGTACTTTGGGTGGTCGGTGGACTTCTTGGTTGACCTGGATCTCTTGGGCTTTGCGGCTGGTGCGGTGGATGAGTTCTCTGCCATGTTGGTGTTGATAGCAGGTGCCTCCGACCAGGAAAACTTTCTTGTGAAGGCAGCTGGGTAATTCTTTTGTCTCACAGCTGTCTATTCCAGCCTTTGGGACTGCTGATAGATAATATCAGGGAGATCAGGAATGGACTGGTCAACGGAGAAATAGAGTCCTGAAGGGACAGCTTGTAAAATCCGCCTGCTGACTTGTCTTCCCCTTCAGAGGTATTTACAGTCCTTCAGCACTGACGGATTCTTCAGCACGTAGCCGAGTCAGTGTGCGGAGTTTGCACCTGTCTCAGGACAAAGTCACTCGTCTTATCTCTTCAGAATGGGGATTTTTTTTTTTTTTTCTGTTGAATAATGTTCTTCCCCTGGACGGTGTCTCCGCCTCAGCTGTCTCTCTCTGCTGCTCGGCGACACTCACAAACACTCTTCTCCTCGGAGCCTTCCCTCCCTCTACTGGCCCCTCCCGCCGGTTCCCGCCTTTTATTTGCTGAGGTCGGACCGAGTTGAAGACTGCCGGCTGCGGGCGGGAAGAGGCAGACATGGCGCCGCTCCTCGACTATCTGTGTTTCTTGGCGTATACAAAGTGTCCATTCCCTGAGCCCCGGGGCGCCGCGCCAGCCCCCTAGCCGTAGTCTCTGTCAGCTGGGTCCTTCCTCTCTCAGCCCCCCCGGTCTCACAGTCCCGGGACTCCCCACAGCCCGCGGGAGAGCCCCGAAAAGCGCCGTGCTGCTGCTAAAATCACACACATTTCCTCTATTCTGGCCCCTGTCTATCGGCCCCTGGGGGCCCCTCGGGAGTGAGGCTTCGGCAGGGTGAAGGTGCATCCCTGGTGCAGTGGTGGGGTCCATCAGAGGACGGATCCGTCTTCTCTGGATGATACTGGAGCCGGCAAAAGCGACCCCAACTAACACAGAGACGAGGGAGCCCAGTGTGTCCATCAGGGAGAGGTGGGAGGGCCTGGAGCCCTCCTGGGGGACACCCCAAACTCTGCCACAGCGGCACCCCCAAACCCCACTCCGGGGACACCCCCTGACCACACCGGACAGCTTTTTACTGAACTTTTCTGCAGACTTTAGGAGTGTTACAATGCAGCCATTCCTGTGCTGGGGGTACAGGAGCTGGGAAATGCGGGGTGCACAGTCTGCAGCGGGGTCCTATCACTCTGTGTGTACCCCCAAAATGCATAACACTACACCCCAACCATGGAAAACACACATTCTGAATGCAGGATAGTCTGAGAGGTCACAGACAAGTCTCATCCCTGAACCCACACACTGTCCTCCACTCAGCCATGACCATAGCTGGGGTTCCCCTCAGATACCATTCTAGGGGCAGCCATCAGCCTATAGCCACACATACTTCTGTATTCTTCATCCTGGGATTGAAGAGTCATTGTCCCTGAGGGAGCCTCAAATTGTGTTTAAAGGAAAATATCCCCCAGAAGCCTGGGGTGCTGATAGAGATGGCTCCCTACAGGCAGACACACACGAGGGCAATTTACTGAGACTGGGGCAGATGTTCATGGCAACCAATCAGCTTCAAGCTTTGACTTTCAGATTTAACTGAATAACCTGAAGCTAGAAGCTGATTGGTTACTGTGCCCAGCTGCTCCAGAATCTGCTCCAATTTTGATAACTTCTGCCCAGATACAGAGGGGATTTACTAAGACTGGAGCAGATAGTTCATGTCAACCAATCAGCTTCACATGGTTGTTTTCAAAGCTTTACTGAACAAGCTGAATGTAGAAGCTGATTGGTTATTGTGCACAACTGCTTCATATTCTGTCTGCTCCAGTTTTCATTAGCAGGTTCCCCCCACAGAGCTTTGATGGGGCTTGGGGGTGTCATTTACAAAAACAAACCCATTCAGCATTCCACTTTATTTATTTAGTAAGTAAATGATGGCAGGTTAGTAAAGGTGCCAGGCTGATTTATGATACCATTTCCCTATGAAGATGCCAGGCTGAGTTATGATCGCATTTCCCTATGAAGATGCCAGGCTGAGTTATCCCAGTTCTTTGAAGGTGCCAGGCTGTGGTGTGATCCAATTTCTAGGTGTGCCTGTGTGTGAAGGTGCCAGGGTGTGTTACGATCCCAGTTATGTATGGAGGGTGCCAGGGTGTGTTATGATGTCAGTTATATATGGAGGGTGCCAGGGTGTGTTATGATGTCATTATATATGGAGGGTGCCAGGGTGTGTTATGATCTCAGTTCTGTATGGAGGGTGCCAGGGTGTGGTATAATCTCAGTTATGTATGGAGGGTACCAGGGTATGGTATGATTCCAGTTCTATATGAAGGATACCAGGGTGTGTTATGATCTCAGTTCTGTATGCAGGGTGTGTTATGATCTCAGTTCTGTATGGAGGGTGCCAGGGTGTGTTATGATCCCAGTTTTCTATGGAGGGTGCCAGGGTGTGTTATGATCTCCCTTCTCTATGGAGGGTGCTAGGGTTTGTTATGATCTCAGTTATGTATGGAGGGGAGGGTACCAGGGTGTGGTATAATCTCAGTTCTCTATGGAGGGTGCCAGGGTGTGGTATGATCTCAGTTATGTATGGAGGTGCCAGGGTGTGTTATGATTTCAGTTCTATATGGAGGGTGCCAGGGTGTGTTATGATCACAGTTATGTATGGAGTGTGCCAGGGTGTGGTACAATCCCAATTCTGTATGATGATGCCAGGTTGTATTATGATCCCAGTTCTCTATGGAGGGGGCCAGGGTGTGTTATGATCTCCCTTCTCTATGGAGGGTGCTAGGGTTTGTTATGATCTCAGTTATGTATGGAGGGGAGGGTACCAGGGTTTGGTATAATCTCAGTTCTCTATGGAGGGTGCCAGGGTGTGGTATGATCTCAGTTATGTATGGAGGTGCCAGGGTGTGTTATGATCCCAGTTCTATATGGAGGGTGCCAGGGTGTGTTATGATCACAGTTATGTATGGAGTGTGCCAGGGTGTGGTACAATCCCAATTCTGTATGATGATGCCAGGTTGTATTATGATCCCAATTCTGTATGGAGGGTGCCAGGGTGTGTTATTATCTCAGTTCTCTATGGAGGGTGCCAGGATGTGATATGATCCCAGTTCTGTATGGAAGGTGCCAGGGTGTGTTATGTTCCCAGTTCTCTATGAAGATGCTAGATTGTGTTATTATCCCAGTTCCGCATGAAGGGTGCCAAGTTGTGTTATGACCTCAGTTCTCTATGAAGATGCCAGGGTGTGTTATGATCCCAGTTCTGTGTGGAGGGTGCCAGGTTGTGTTATGACCTCAGTTCTCTATGAAGATGCCAGGGCGTGTTATGATCCCAGTTCTGTATGGAGGGTGCCAGGGTGTAGTATGATCTCAGTTCTCTGAAGATGCCAGGTTGTGTTATGATCCCAGTTCCATATGGAGGGTGCCAGGGTGTGTTATGATCCCAGTTCTCTATGGAGGCTGCCAGGGTGTGGTATGATCCCAGTTCTCTATGAAGGGTGCCAGGGTGTAGTATGGGCCAAGTTCTGTATGAAGGGTGCCAGGCTGTGTTATGTTCCCAGTTTTGTATGAAGGGTGCCAGGTTGTGTTATGTTCCCAGTTTTGTATGAAGGGTGCCAGGTTGTGTTATGTTCCCAGTTTTGTATGAAGGGTGCCAGGTTGTGTTATGATCTCAGTTGCCAATGAAGAATGCCAGGTTGTGTTATGATCCTAATTCTGTATGATGATGCCAGGTTGTGTTATGATCTCAGTTCTGTATGGAGGGTGCCAGGATGTGTTATGATCTCAGTTCTGTATGAAGGCTGCCAGGTTGTGTTATGGTCTCAGTTCTGTATGAATGGTGCCAGAGTATGTTATGATCTCAGTTCTCTATGGAGGATGCCAGGTTGTGGTATGATCTCAGTTTTGTATAAAGGGTGCCAGGTTGTGTTATGATCTTAGTTCTGTATGAAGGGTGCCAGGGTGTGCTATGATCCCAGTTCCCCACAAAGATGCCAGGTTGTGTTATAATTCCAGTTCCATTTGGAGGATGCCAGGGTGTGTTATGATCCCAGTTCTCTAAGAAGGGTGCCAGGTTGTGTTATGATCTCAGTTCTGTATAAAGGTGCCAGGATGTGTTATGATCCCATTTCTATATGGCAGGTGCCAGAGTGTGTTTTGATCTCAGTTCTGTATGTAGGGTGCCAGGGTGTGGTATGGTCTCAGTTCTCTATGGAGGGTGCCAGGGTGTGGTATGATCATATCTCTCTATGAGGGGTGCCAGGGTGTGGGTATAAACCCAGTCCTGTATGAAGAGTGCCAGGCTGTGTTATGTTCCCAGTTTTGTATGAAGGATGCCAGGCTGAGTTATTATCCCAATTCCCAATCAAGATGCCAGGCTGTGGTATGATCCCAATTCTGTATGATGATGCCAGGTTGTGTTATGATCTCCGTTCCGTATAAAGGGTGCCAGGTTGTGTTATGATCTCAGTTCTGTATAAAGGATGCCAGGTTGTGTTATGATCTCAGATATGTATGGAGGGTGCCAGGTTTTGTTTTGATCTCAGTTCTGTGTGATGGGTGCCAGGTTGTGTTATGATCTCAGTTCTGTATGAAGGGTGCCAGGTTGTGGTATTATCTCAGATATGTATGGAGGGTGCCAGGTTGTGTTATGATCTCAGTTCTGTATGAAGGGTGCCAGGTTGTGTTATGGTCTCAGTTCTGTTTGAAGGGTGCCAGGGTGTGCTATGATCCCAGTTCCCCACAAAGATGCCATGTTGTGTTATGATCCCAGTTCCATATGGAGGTTGCCAGGGTGTGTTATGATCCCAGTTCTCTATGAAGGGTGCCAGGTTGTGTTATGATCTCAGTTCTTTATGAAGGTGCCAGGATGTGTTATGATCCCAATTCTGTATGGCGGGTGCCAGGGTGTTTTTTGATGTCAGTTCTGTATGAAGGGTGCCAGGGTGTGTTATGATCTCAGTTCTGTATGAAGGGTGTCAGGGTGTGCTATGATCCCAGTTCCCCACAAAGATGCCAGGTTGTGTTATGATCCCA